ATAAATCTTGCTTTTTTATTAGTTTTTGCGTTATTGTATTTTAAAAAGTGTCCACAATATTCTGGGAGGCCTCTGTATGAATTATGCAACTTCAAAAAAAAACAAGTTAGGTGCAACTACAACATCAAATAAATGCGATTCTCTGAATAAACGATATCTAAATTAAAAATAAAATGAATATTAAAAAAATGATACCATTACGAATATTCATATACATACTGCATCGTCATATTTGATATTTTGTATTGGTTCACGTTAAAGTTCAAATGAACTGTGACATTCCTAATCTTTGATTTATGTACAATAGTATGTTGGAAGTTTCCTTTCCATACTCATTTTTGATTGGTATATTCTGTCGTACCTTGCCTCTCCATAAGGCCATTTCAAATGCCTTTTTCCCAGATCTTTGGGACGCGTATTCTGAGATCTTTCGATCAGTCCATGCGATTTCGAGGCTAGTTAAAGAATCGATTTCTTGTCACTCTTGTTTTACACAATAAAACATCTCTAAGTGTCCCCCGGGACCATAGTAAAAACAGGCAGAATGTGCATTTAGAGAGGGTGTGCATTTATAGAGAGTAAAATATATGTGTATTATAACTTGGAACCAAACCATACCGTGCATGCATTTATAAAGGATGCACTTAGAGAGGTTTTCCTGTATACTTTTATTAAAAAATAAATTGGTATCATTTTTAAGGACTGGTAAGACATAGAATTTCTTTAATTACGAATACTCATCCAACAACACCAAATCACTACCATCGTATTTAATTTTAGCATCTCTGGTAACGCTGTGTCATTCTTCTTAAATTGTTCATATCCAGTGTCAAGGTTTATAAAATTAAATTTAGTCCCGTCACTCGGGTACTGCCTATTTTACCACACATGCACAAAAAAACATATAACGCGTATACATAATTTGATTTTGTTAATTCGGAATAAAGAGCATTGTGGAGAAATGAAAACGTGACTTTACAGGAATTACTTCTCATCCTATTCCATCAGCTGGGAACCAGTCAGATGAGAAAAAGAACAATTTAAGATCCTTCTGTGTTCATTTATTTATCTATCTCCAATCATAGTGCTGTATTACTATTGGATTCCTGAATAGGCTCTTTTAATTTACCGCGCAGTTGATAAAGAAGCAATTATCAAGGAGCTATAAAGGACATTATCACCTTTGCTTTTAAGATTTTTAATATTTTTCTTCATAAATTATTTATCAATAAATTTATTGTCTTAGAGTTAATATTACCTTCTGACAAATAATTAACAAGAAATATGTATATTATCATAATCTTTTATCATCGTTAGTTTTTTCACCTCTTTTAAACGACAGTTCCGTTTGTACAAATACTTATGTTATACATGTACAATGCATAACGATAAGGTAACAGAAGTACATTAGATAGTTCACGAATTTATGAATTAACGCATAACGATATAAAATCAATATATCGATATCGATAATTATTATTTGAGGAAGCTTAAATAAGGAGATCGTATTCAAAAAAAATGTTGGTTTTCAAATTGTATCATCTGATTGCTTTCGCTTGTCTTATTTTAGGGTACTTCGTCGTGTTAAAGGCCTATCGACGAGCTTATCGATACTACAGTCAATGAAAATCCGGTATTAATAAACAAGAGCTACAACAACCACAAAAACTACCACGCATGGCTGACGTAAAACCAAACGAGATGGACAAAGAGCAATGTGTTGATGAACTTCTCCATGTAGTCCTTACTCGACTACTCTGTACCCACTTTAGTCCTGGCCAGCGGTGATAGCAAAGATTCAGAGTATTTTCAGGGATGATTCCACAAGTGTGAGAGCCTTGGAGTGAAGATGGAAAGTCGAGGTTATCAGGTAGCAACGTCAATTGAGACATAATTTCTTGGACAAAAAGTTCTTGAAAAATGTGATGGTCGTTATTATATTATGTTGTCTTTTTGGTTCGCAAAAGAACTTGGAAGCGAATTCGAATTCTAAACGCCGTCATCTCTTTAATTTTTGCATAAAGTGGCTTAAATTATTCATTCATTCATGATGGGTGGAAAGAGACGCGTGTTCAGCTGTCTTTGATGCAAAAAATTTCAAATTCGACAACGAAGCAGAATACGACGTTATTGGAGAGTTTTATAATGCATTCTATCGCAGTACCTGTTTCTTTGACAATCGTGGCATTTAAATGTAGATGTATACGATATGTAGTCATTCACCAAATCAAAATCATACTGCCAATTCAAGTTACACAAAAATAATCAGACATGCAACTAATTCAAAATTTAAACTTTGTGCAACATAACGATAACGGTAATACAAATTTAAATAATACTGTTACCATAGCGATAGTAATGTTGCGCGTGTTCGTAATTAGGCGTAATTAACGATTTTACCTACAACAATTGAGGGGGGAGAGAGTGTATAGACTGATTTGTACTAGTTCGTTATCTAATTCCTGTGCCGACATCTACGGATATCGTCGGGTTTGGTAATATTAAAGGGGCTTACGAGGATTTGTGTTTAGATAAGAGAATTTAGGAGAGTCGGGTTTCTTTAATTTTAAGTGACGTTTACTTCTATTAACAATATTTAACAATAACAATTGCTTTTTCTAGACAAAAGCCTTAAACTATTCTACACAATGCGTTTTAC